AATAAATGATGTTTATAGAGTGGCTGGCTGGGGAATTCTGGGAGTGGAAGTCCACACGTCTTAAAGTTCTCAAGGTTGAAAAACACTGCTCTAAAAGAGTTGAGCATCAACCATACATTGGTAACATGCTCGTAGAGTGCAATAGATAGGCCATGTTCAGGACAACTTATTTAAGAATAATATACCAAGGTTGCACAGCACTGTTACCCATGGTAACCACGGCAGACCCATTATCTCATAAAGATATGGCTTTGTAGCAACTAACCACTTCATGTGAAGTGTGCGCAGTTTAGTAAAACTGAAAGCATGATTTATTTCAGTGAAAAAGGGTTTTGCTTCTTATTGAAGCTCAAGCCAATCCATTTTACGCATTAACCAATCGGGTGAACCCCAGGCTCCTAGACATTCTGCCATTTCTTTCTCATTTCATGTGATCAGGCGGAAAGGAGCCTTCATTTGTTTCTTCTGAATCAACAACCCCTACTTTGCACTTAAATCATCCTGTTCTTGTAGATTTGTAATGGACGTGTTTGCTAGGAATTCTGGGAGTTGTAGTTCCACCCCTCTGGAAGACATCAGATGGGGACCAATTGCAATAGATTTAGTGATGCAGGTAAATAAAATTAACATGCTGCTGATTTAAAATGCATTCCTCGCCACTCTCCCCCCCCCTTCCAGTACATCTTTATGTAATAGTCAGATTTACACATCATGTAGCTGATTTATCTTAATGTTGGGTTTCCCAGATGGTTGGGACCCCAAAACTTGTGGAAATCACTTTAAAAAAAAAGGTCAGTCTTGCACAAAGTGGCAGCAATACCCAGCGTTTTGCTCCTTGAATTGATTCTCCAAGCTCCAGTTCCAGTACTGCAAAACTCAAGAAACCCAGTGATCTATAACAGATGCTGGGACCCTATTTTCTTGGAAAAAAAATAAAAGGACCAACCTGAAAAAGGAGCAAATCTGAAAGAGGTTCCTAAGGATTAAAAAAAAAAATTGTTTATCACTTTGCTTTACGAAGGAAAATTCAAGAGCAAACCAAGAAAAGAAAGAATTAAATTAAATAAATCTAAAGGACAGCTTTCTGAAATAAAGGACTGTCCTTTATTTATTTTCATTTAGTAAATTTATATGGCTGCCCATCTCACAGGAAGTGACTCTGGGTGGCTGTGTACAACCATTTATTAATAAAGGACATAGGGTCACTATCTATGGATCAAAAATTAATTATGAAAAGTGATGTATTTCTTTCTTGCCCAACCCTAACTGAAATTAATTCTTCTATGCATGGGGGGGTCACACAAATTCATTTCTCACTTTAAGGGGTGAGCACCAGAGGAGCCCTGACTGTGTGTGCTGTGGTCAACCTAGCCATGATGACTTGTCACTTGTAATTTATGGCCCTGGGTTGTAGGTAAACCCAGTTGTGGCTAAATCAAATGCGGAGGGTGAATCCTTTCTGACAAGAAGCCCCAACTTCATCCCCCTCTCCTACGCTGAACGTGGGAGAAGACAGGGAAATCCAGCACCCCTCCCTGACCGATGTTCTCTCTCGAGGAAACGGCCAGCCTTAATGAAAGGGACATGGAAGATGGGCCATTCTGCAGGGGACATGAGAACTGGCACCTGCTGCAGAAACAGGACCCGGTCAGGTAGTAAAGGTCAGCAAATAAGAGTCTTTGTTGAATAAACACAGAGGGAACTGGGCTAGTCGGAGAATCAAAGAGACAGTAGCCAGGCATTTCTAATTTAATGCATTTGCAGAGGAAATGAAAGGATATCGCCAAGAATAAATGATGTTTATAGAGTTAGCAGGCCCGATAAAGGAGCTCCCTCTCTCGTTAAAGAAACACGGGGATTCATGTTGAGATTGGTGTTTACTTGACCAGGTGATGTGACCCCCCCCCCCCAAAAGAGATGCTCTCAGACAACACTTTGTCCACTCCGCACAGGGATGAAGATCCTCTGAAAAAGAGCCATCCTTTTCTTCCTAATTGCATATCACCGGATGTCTTCTGAGCCACTGAGAGCGGAGCAGCAGAGAAATCCTGAGTAAAAACAATAAGATAATCGACTTCCTCCTGCACCCAATTCATCAAAGGCACTTTCAAAAGGTATTTTGTAACCGATTAACCTCACGCTAACAATCCTAGTTTGCATCTAACTGGTCCCTCCCCGGCCTATCCAGCTGATCAGTTATTATTTTTACGCAAGGTCAGCGAGAGCAAACGCAGTTCAGCGGTGAGGCTAACGTGAATAAAATAAAACGGGCAAATTCGTACTGACAGGACGGCAAACGCCGAGCGCCTGAACAAGACCAAAACGAAGAGAGGACACGGGGGCGCGTTTTCGGCGCAAGGAACCGACGCCGCGCTCCGCGCTCCGCGCTCCGCGCAGCCCAACTGCGGGGCGACCGAACGCCGCGCGCCCCGGGCGAGGGGCGCCGAAAGCGCCTTT